TTTCCTATTAACCTATTTTTAAAATATTTTAAAGTAATTTCTATTAGTAGTAATGGCCATTGAAAGTATAATTGATGCAATATTTTTGCCTTTATAAACACTTGTGTGCTTCCTAAAGACTCAGAAAATAACACAGTATTTAAAAAGTTATAAATCTGTTTCATTTGTACTGCTCAAGATGGGGAAACAAAAATCATGAGGAAACATCTGGTCTTTTTGGAGAAGCAGAAATCCCACAGAAAGTCTAAATGACCTATTTCATAACTTCCTTAAAAAATTGGAACTACCATAATTGTCAAGAAGTTATGCAGTTTTCATTTTTGAGAAAGCCTTAAAATGTTCATTGTTCCCTGATAAAAATTGAAATGGCAGTCAATTTTCCAAAAGATGGCAGAATACTGCAGGTTTTTGTTCCAAGATGATGTATAGATAAGACGATAAGATTCAGAGAAACGTTTGGGGAAAGCATTGGCCCTTTGGTATCTCTCGAACACTCAGTGTTTTTATTATCTTGGATTAAGAAATCAGCATTTGAATTCATGCCTTTTCTCTGATCTTTGCTGCCCCCTAGTGACTCACATTACTACATTTCTGTTTAAATCTACGTAGTCTACGTCTAATTAATATTGTAATTATTGTGCTGAATTGAATATTTATGGGAAACAAATATTTAAAGATTTCTAATGTTTAGGTGAAAACACTAACCTTGCCTCAAGGTTAACCCACTGGTCTCAAGAAATAAGTTGGTTGGATGACTCACCATGATGGATGAAATGGTTGAAAAGAGAAACAGTATTCCAAATTACTAAAATAGTAGCGCTGAAAGTGTGATATGACAGAATATTTTGGATGGGGAAAACACAATACTTGATGAAATCATATGAATTTTCACATCTTTAAGCCAACTAATGCCATCTTGGGTATAATTACTACCTAAGAAAGTAACGAAAAAATATAAATTAAATGCAACTATTTTTACTAAGTTGTTAGTAAGTTTGATATAAATGATAACACAAAATTAGGAATGCATCATATGGCCTAAAGTTGAGAAATGCTTTAAAAAGTGTGTGCATATATACATACACTTACAGATGTTTGTATAAAATTGCATGTCCTCTTGTTGCCATTAAAAATAGAAAATATACAGAATTTATAACTATAAAATAAAGTGGTTAGTATGCAAAAACGAAGAACAACAAAATTCAGAAGGGGTTTTACTACTTGTAAATGAAAATTCGATTTGTATTTTGTGGGTTTACTGATTTGTTTTGTCTGTATGGATGAATAATTATGCATGAAAAATAAATTAAAGGATGTGGCATGTGCATGAATGATAGGGCTTGTTGAAATATTGTCAAGCATTATTTTCATTTAACCTTGCTTGGATTGCAGCTGGGGTATAGATTTAGAGTGCTTGGCTGAATAGCCACCTGGCTATTATGAAAAATTCATGGTTTCAGGCAAGATTTCAATCACTGCCACTTTTCTAAAGGCAAAAAATAAAAATCCCATCTTTATTCACATAGATGCCCTAAATGGTAACATCTGTGATGTGATAACTATAGTAATTTCAGGAAAAAGTGGATAAAAGCTTATCTTTTGTATAACTCCTTAGAATTCCAAATATTTTATTTTAATTTGGTTTACTATCAAAATTTCCTAATTGTTTAAGCTCAAAGGTGATTTTTGAATTCATAAGACTATCAAACCCTTCATACTCTTCTAAAGCCAAATGTATGAATAGCTGATCTGTCCTGTTATATATACATTTTTAAACTCACACCTTCACTATTCTAGTTTTCCCCTAAGGTGGACAAGTTTAGTCCTATCTTTCCATTTCCGTCTCTATGCTTTGGAGATCTTACTCTTTCCAGCTGTGAGTGTATATCCATGTAGATACCTCTACAGTCAGCCTCTCCAGCCCTGACTGCTTGTCTCAACTTGTGTTCGACATTTCCAGCAGTCTCCTGCATATAAGTCACTTGGTTGTTTCACGGTTAACACCAACACAAGTGTAAGTTGTCTCAGACAAGATAGAAGAAAGGTAGAGATCATTGAGTTCAAAATCTTTTTACAGCCACATGCCACCATGTCCGGGTAATTTTTGTATTTTTAGTAGAGAAGGAGTTTCACGATGTTGGTCAGGAGGGTCTTGAACTCCTGACCTCGTGATCTGCCCGTCTTGGCCTCCCAAAGTGCTGGGATTACAGGCAGGAGCCGCTGCACCCGGCCAAAACCTTTGCTTTAAAGATAATACAACGGAAGCTATAGAAGTAAATTTACTTGACCAAACTCATAAGTAAATTGGCAGTGGCACAAGGATTAGAAATCATGTTGTCTGACCGCCAATCAGTTCGGCATACATCCTTCCTCACCAAACTCCTCGTTCCACTGCTACTTTCTGATTTCTCTTCTATATGATTGTTTCCAAAATCATCTTCAATCATCCAGACAAGATATCATAGGGTTATTTTAAAATTTGCCATTTGCTCCAAAATCTGGTCATTCTGCTTTTTTCCATAGATTCTTCTTTGCAATAACTTCTGCACTTTCCCTTCTTTAAAAAACATTTTAATCAAAGCAATTCATACCCACGGTTTAAAATGTAAAGGAGTTCAACAAGACTTATAAGAAAAAATAGTGGACCATTTCCATATTTCTTTCCTGAATTCCGTTCCAAGATACAGACATCTTTGCATCTTTTACCTGTTTCTTTGAAGATTCACATCCATGCCTCTAAAAAGAAGGCATATGTTTTATTTTGTCATTTTTTATTTTTAGGTAATAGTGCTTTGCTTTCTTTCTTGGAAGCTAGTCCCCTAAAATGTTCACCTTCTTCTCCTCTTATCCTTTCCTGATCGTATTAGTGTAATTATTTTAGTTTTTGGTTAAACATTCAGTGTTTTCATTATAGTATTTATATTGATGTTATCCACACCTGTGACACCTAAGTACGCTATGATCACATATTCTTCCTTGTAATTTTTTTCCCTCAGGAATTAGTAATAATTGATTTATTTTTGTTTTTAAGTGTACTATGTAACTCTTACCATTTCATCTACGAACACTTGGAGAGCACAGTCACTCCCTCCTTGACATGCTAAATATCAGATGGGGTATCAATTCTGTTTTATTAAAAGAGACTTCCTTGTTGGACCCCTTCTATAAAACTGTGATCTAGACAGATCCTTCTTTAGAACTGCTGCACAGTTGTTTTCTTGAGCGTTCCCTTCACTGTCATTGTGGAAGTTTTATAGACTCCTTTTTCCACATACTCTTTGTATTCCAGGTTTCCTGTATCTTGGTTATTCTTTGATTCTTTTTTTTTTTTTTGAGACAGTGTTTCGCTCTGTCACCCAGGCTGGAGTACAATGGCACGATCGCGGCTCACTGCAACCTCTGCCTCCTGGGTTCAAACGATTCTCCTGCCTCAACCTCCCGAGTAGCTGGGATTACAGGCGCCTGCCACCATGGTCCACGCCCGGCTAACTTTGGTGTTAGTAGAGGCGGGGTTTCACCGTGTTGGCCAGGCTTGTCTTGAACTCCTGACCTCAGGTGATTCACCCGCCTTGGCCTCCCAAAGTGCTGGGATTACAGGCATGAGCCACCGTGCCCGGCCTATTCTTTGATTCTTAATAAGGATTATCTTCTTGTAATTTCTTGAGCAGAAGAATATGAGAGGTAATTTTGTTTAGAACTTGTGCATATGAACAATTAAAATGTTTGTTTCTACCTTCTCATTTGATTGATAGTTTGTCTGGATTCAGAATTCTATGTTGAAAATTATTTTTCACAGAATATTGAAGGCATGAAATTCAATTTTCTTTCTGATTCCAATTGCCTGTTTTTCTCTGTATCTCAATTCCCTGAAATTTTACAGTACTGTGCTTTGCTATGAATTGTCTTTTCATTCACTGTGGTAGATACTAATCTGCCCTTTCCATGTGTAAATCCAGACATTTCAATCCTAGGGTTTTTTTTTTTTTTTTAATTTCTTTCTGTATAGTTTATTTCCTTTCATTTTCTTCTTTGTCTTTTTCTGAGGCTTTTATTTGACTGTTTGAACTTCAGTAACAAACCTCTAAAATTTTATCTAGTCTTAATTATTTTTCATTTTGTAGTTTGGCTACACTTTCTGGAAGATTCTGTCATCTTTATTTTAACCATATTTTATTCTAGGAGCTTGTATTGTTTGAATGCTCCTCCTTCATTTTAAAATCATATCCTAAATATTCTAATTTATGGATATATTATCCATAAATTTTTATCTCTTTAAGGTGACTTTTATCTCTTTAAGACGATTGATTAAAGAGTTTCTTTGCATTCTTTCTCCTAGTTCCTGCAATGCCTCAGGTTTTCTGCGTTGCTTATTCTCTTTGTTTGGCTTCTATGTTTTGAGTTAGTGGTATGACTTTCCTCATCCTTGGCTGTTATTTGACATTTGACATTTAAAACCCTAGAAATATATTAGAAGCTTTGTATCTAATTTCAGGGCTTCTTGACCAGTGTGCTTTTCTGTAGGGTAATTAGACAGAAGCACAGTTATTTTCTCAAGGATACTCTTTCCCCAAATGTCAAGAATTTTTCCTTAAGCCAGTGAGGTTCCAAAGAGATGAACCCTCCAGCTTTCGTCCTGTGAGTGAAGCTGGTTGCTTTTGTGATGGAAAAGAGGGAGAGTATAATATGGGTCTCACTATTCAATGTGTAGACCTTCATGCAAAGTCTTGACTGTGTTTGATGTCTCTGGGTTCAGTGTGTCTCCAGAGAGTAAAACCTGAACCTTGTTATTCTGTTAAGTGGGGAAAATTTTAGACCTGATCTCTTCTCATATAGAATTTTAGGATATGCAAAGGTCTAAATGTTTTTGGAGAGTTGCAACCATGTTCGTGTTGTCTGCCTAACTATACCTCAGCTGTCAGAGCAACATGATGCCTCTAACTTGTAGACCTCCCTGGATTCCAGGGCATGAAATGACTAGTCTTGACTCTGCACTCTTGCACCTTGCAGACACTATCTTTCTTCTTCCTCTGGCCTTAATTTTCTGCTTTATATCTTCCTTTTTTTTCTTTGCATCTCAATTTTTTTTTGTTCCCACTTCTGGTTTTTCTTATGTAATTTTATGCATTTTTAAAATCCTTTTACCAAACTTTTATGGGATTTTAAGAAGTGAAAGTTAATCCCACGTAATTCACCAAAATTCAGTTCCTTCTTTTTTTTTATTCTATTGCTATTAACTTCTATCATACTTTAATCACTTAATGCTGGGGTAAATTGTTTCCTAACTAATTTCATCCTTTCAATTTTTTCTTTCCTTGACTAAAATGTCCTATTAACTGCCACCCTGGGAACAACTCTAAGATACCACTCTAATTAGATCACTCACTTGCTCAAAAAACTACAGATACTTTTAATGCCTAAAAAAGTAAATTTCTGACCCATTCACGATCTACTCAGATTTCCAGGCTTATCTTTTACCATGCTTCAATATGTACATTCTCCTTGTACAAATGACTTTACTCATTGTCTTTGGAAAATATCTGCCTGTCTTCCCACTATTCTTGGCAAAATCTATTCTTTTCATTTAATCTTACTCATTCTTCTTAACTCCTCCAAGAAGTCTTTTTGATCCCTCTAGTAGAAAAAAAAATTATTAGTGCCAGGTTTGCAGTCTGTTTCTTTCATTATAGCATCTGTAACACTTAGTATTTATATTTTTATCTTTCTCTTCTAGACTCTAAGTTGCACTGGAGGCCAAGACCTTGTTATATTTTCTTGTTGTATACCAATTTTCAATCAATATTGAATACCTACTGTGTGCCAGGACCTGTGCTGAAACTTCTTTAGGTGTATCTCAGGTAAAGAAAAAGACATATAAGCAGCAGTTTTCAGAAACAGTGAAAGCTGAGAATGGGATCTCAGTGGTTACCTGGAGTTCAGAAAAAGGACTCCGGTTTCTGAGAGGATGCATATAAGCCAGCCTCATCTCAAGCCTTACAGGAAATGAAAGTATAGACTCAATTCTATCATAGGTATCCAAAATGGATGAAGAATAGGGAAATTGTTTTCTTGCTGGCCAATAGACAAGGGACCAAAGCAGGACTAATAGCAAGGATGAGTTGCTTAATGTTGTCTTCTTCCCACCCCTTTTTCTCAGGCAGGGTTGGTCCACAAACTTCAAGAGCCAGTGACCCTGACTGCCAAGTGATTTGCCAAAGGGATTTATGGTAAGTTAATAAAACACCTGGAATTGTGAAAGACTAGATTTATCTGAACTTTCTAGAAAGCTTTTTGACTCCATAAAGTGCATGAGTCACTGTCATCCCAGGATGAGTTCTGGATTTTTCTCTTTATGGTTTTCAAAGACAGATTTCATATGCTTAAGAAAGTTACTCTACTTACTGTTGACTTTTAAGTTACATTTATATGTTAAAGTTCTTCTATATGTCTAATCACAATAGTTCGCTTAATTTATGCTAATTATAAAGAGCTTTACATTTTTATGTTATTCAACATTATGTTGACTGTAATTCTTAAAAGTTAGACTCTTCTATGTGTTACAGAATTTCACCCTCCTATAAGTAGTTGGAGTGTAGGTACCATGGTTACGCATCTTTGAGACTCGATTACATTTAGCATGTTAGAAATGCTGAGTTAAAATAGTGTGGGAAACTAACACTTTTAGCATTAGAATATGTAGGTTTGGGTATCAGTGATTCTGTCAACTAATGATGTGATTTTGCTCAATCCCTTAAACTTTTAGGAGGGTCTCAGTTTTCTTATTTGTTAATGCAAGATGTTTATCCTTGCAAATTTGAGGATTGTGAGGGTTAAATAAGAAGAATATGAAAATACTTTGTGGTCTCTAAAGCACTTTAACCACAGAACTTTTAAGTATTCGTTGAAATGAACAAATGAATGAACACCCTCTGGTGAAATCCTGAAAATTATTTGTTTCCTGCAGCTAAACATGAAGACACTTTCATGTTTTATTAAAAAGAGTATAATATGGGGTAGTGATTAGAGGAGGGGCGAAAGATTATCTTGCCCACCGAATTTCCAGTAATCTCCCTGACGATATGCCTAAAATACTCTTAATTTTCAATCTTGTGTATTAAATGTTTGAGTCCTCAGGAGGCTAATTTTTTAATATTATATACCTGCTAATATTTTAAAAAGCAATTAATTTAATGTATCAATGTACATGTTTATACAGACAAATATATCAACAGAGAGCAGAACCTGAAGAAGGAAGTTCTAGGAAAGATAGGCTGTAGAGAGACCTATGCTGCTTTTTTTTTTTTTTTTTTTTTTGAGACGAAGTCTCGCACTGTTGCCCGGCCTGGAGTGCAGTGGCGTGATCTTGACTTACTGTAACCTCTGCCTCCCAGGTTCAAGCGATTCTCCTGCCTTAGTCTCCTAAGTGCCTGGGATTACAGGTGCCTGCCACCACGCCCAGCTAATTTTTTGTATTTTTAGTAGACACAGATTTTCACTATGATGGCCAGGCTGGTCTCAAACTCCTGACCTTGTGATTCGCCCTGTCTCGGCCTCCCAAATGCTGGAATTACAGGCATAAGCCACTGCACCCGGCCAGACCTATGCTTCTTTAGAGTAAAAGTGCATGGTGATTCTGGGTAAAAACAAGAAATTTGTTACTTTATGTAATATCTTTCCAGACTTCAATTTTAACATGTAATTAGGCATTCAACCCTTCTCCATATTTTAATTTAATTGACTGCTATAGGTTTACGCAATAGTTAAAACTCCTTTGAAAATATGGTAAGAAACAATAGTTACCCACTGTCTACAAATCCTTGGCAAGACCTCAGAAAACCCATTTGTGGTAGAAGTTTTCCTAATTTTACTCTGAAATGATGTGCAATGATGATTAAATTATTTCTTAATGAAATTAAACAAAAAGTTTACCAAACTAGATGAAATCAAGATAAACATGAATACATTTCAGTTTTATGTAATTTATTATTTATGTTATATAACTTATTGTTTTTGAAAGATATATAAAAACCATACAATTTTCAATATTTTTTAATATGTGTAAACCCAAGGAATAAAAATTGTAGCCAGACTGGCGTGGTGACTCATGCCTGTAATCCCAGCACTGTGGGAGGCTGAGGCAGGCAGATCACTTGAGTTCAGTTCGAGACAAGCTTGGCCAACATGGTAAAACCCCATTTCTACTAAAAATACAAAAATTAGCTGGGCATGGTGGCATGCAGCTGCAATCCCAGTTACTCAGGAGGCTTAGGTAGGAGAATAGCTTGAATCTGGGAGGTGGAGGCTACAGCGAACCGAGATTGGGCCACTGTACTCCAGCCTGGGTGACAGAGCCAAACTCTATCTCAAACAAACAAACAAACAAACAAATTGTAGCCATTCCTAGATTCTGATCTGCTACATTGCTCATCTCACAGTCAGTTTGCATGCAATGAAGTAAACACACTGTGAATAATATAGTCTCTAGATGGAATTATTTAAAAATACAAGTCAGCTACCATTTGTTAAGCACCTGTTAAATGTAAAACATTCTGAAATATCTGTTGGTGTAACTGTGTATATGTGTGTGGGAAGAGGGTGCGGTACGGGACTGCATGGATTTCCTCTTCGAACATTTTTTGAGCACTCACCATGTACTTGACCCTCCACTGGGTACTGAGGTGGTCAGAGCTTACATAATAGTGGAGAGAAAGATAAGCAAGAAAATTAAGTACATCATGCTAGATGGGGATGAGTACTATGGAGAAAAATAAGGGAGGCAGGTACATATGAGTCCAGAGTGGGAGCTGCAATTCCACCCTACGTGGTTAAGGATGACTTCTCTGAGAAGCTGGTATAGAACCCAAACCAAACAAGGTGAAGGAGCCAGCCATGAGGATGTGTGAAGGAAAGCCATTTCAGCCAGAGTAGCCAAGTGCCAAGACCCCGAGGCCAGAGCATGGCCCAGATACATGGAACTGCAACATGGTCTATGTGGCTGGAGCAGAGTTAGAGAGAAGAAAACGAACAGGAATGATTTTAAGGAGAAAAGGGGAGAGTAGATCATGTAGGTCCTATAGACCATTATAAAGACCTCGACTGTCATTTTGGATGATAGGAAAAGTCATGGGAGGTTTTAAGCAGCAGAATGACATAATATGACTCACTTTAAACAAGAAAAATAAAACGGGAGTTTCTTCTGTTTTTAAAATTTATTTATATTTTAGACAGACCTCACTCTATCACGCAGCTGGAGTGCAGTTGCATAATCATGGCTTATTGCAGCCTCAAACTCTTGGGCTCAAGCTATTCTCCTTCCTCAGCCTCCTGAGTAGCTGGGACTACAGGTGTGCACCACAATTCCTGGCTAAATTTTTTATTTTTTGTAGGGAAGAGGTCCCACTATCTTGCCCAGGCTGGTCTCAAACTGACTTGGAGCTTGGCTTCCATTTATTTCACCTCCCAAATGGGATTAAAAGCGTGAGCCACCACACCTAGCCATGATTCACTTACAAATTTTAAATAGACATAGAAGAAGAAAGTGTAAAAGTAGGAGGTGATCCTTTATGCTGTTATTAATAACTCAGTTAAGAGTGGATGTTGGATTGGACCAAGGCGACAGGGGTTAGGTAAGATATTGTTGGGTTTTATAATAGATGAAGGTGTACCTTATAAGATTTGCACATGAAATAGATGTGGGTGTGAAAGAGAGAAATTAAGAATAACTCTAGGCTTTAGGGCCTCATAAACTGGAAGTATGGGGTTGCCATTGACAGCAATGTGGAGGGAAATAAATGCATCAAGGAGAAAAGTTAGGATTTTGGTTTTGAAGAGTTTGTGTTTGTGATTAGACTTCTAAGTGGAATGCAGGGTAAACAACTGAACATTTGAACCTGGAGTTGAGAAGACTAGTCTGAGCTAGAGTCAAGTAAAATGATAATACTTGGGAATTGTATATTTATGTAATATTTACTAACAAAGATAAGATGATATCATCAAAGGAAAGAGTGTACTTAGGGCAGATAAATGGTCTTAGGTTCGAGGCTTTCCAATGTTAAGAGTTTGGGTAGAAAGAGAAAGTAGCAAAGGAGACTAAGAGGGAGACCAGAGTGGGGAAAGGAACAGCAGGAGAGTGTGGCATCCTGGAAGAAGGAGTTTCCAGGCGGTGGATTTGACATCAACTATGTCAAATGCTTTTGATAGATGGTCTAATATTCGTATAGAACATTGTCCTTTGGATTTAACAGTGGAGAGCTCATTGGTAATATCTTCATGAGTAAATTTCATGGAGAGGAGTGGGTAAGGGTTTGACTGAGATTGCCTCAAGAGAGAATAAGAAGGGAAGAATTAAGAGGGGGGAAGTAAAAGCATGTATTTTATGTGCGTGGAAATGATTCAGCGGAAAGGAAAATGATGCAACAGGAGAGAGAACTGCTGAAGTCACAGCTTCGAGCCAGTTAGTGGTGCTGGAATCTCACGCACAAGTGTAGGATTTGGCATTCTTCACTCAAATTAGGAGAGATGGAGGGTTAGATAATAAGCCCAGCTGAAATTAAGTGAAAAGCTGTGGAGGTGGGAGCTTTTGGAAGTTCTGTTGCGACTGCTTCTATTTTGTCAGTAAAATAGAAAGCAAGGTGGCTTCACACTCTCAAGTATTTTAAAATACAGTGGAAGAGACAGAGGAACATACTATATCAAGGCTGAATATTATCAGAATTAAGGCAGATATATCTGTTGTATTGAACAAACATGACTCATGGGATATTATAAAACAACTTTATTTTTGTCCTCCTTTAAATTATTCTGTGTGACCATCTTACTTCCCACTGGATGAAAGTTAGGACAAGTCACCACATTTTTTCCCATCATGTTCATTAATAAAAATATCATAAGGAGCAATTAATATGTCCAGTGTAATAATCAAAATTTCATAAATATTATTCAAAGATAAAACTACTCTACTTGACAAGTTCTGACCATTGACAAGTTGGTTTCCTTAATAAGAAAGGGACATATTAATTGGGGTTTTTTCCTTTTATATTTCTAATCCTTTCCCCGCCACAGTTGCCATTCTGAACCCCTCTAGTGTTTGACACAGTGTGGGTAGTATAGAAGATTGAGGAAGAAGTAGGATAGTTCTTACTTAGTTAACACCATCATGAACTGGCATTACATACTGTGGGTCTGCAAGGTTTAAAGCTGACTTTGACTTCTCTTGGGAGACTTGTAG